AGAAACAGTAGTACTGACCTGATTAGTACCAAGACCAGCAGATATGTTCGATGTTGGTGTGTTTTTTCTCGAACGCTTAAGTAAAAGTATGAAAAACGGAGATGATTCCTTTTTCCAAATTTGGGAAACTAAAACACTTACTTTTCGACTTAATACTGATACTCGTACTGACGACGGTTTTCGATGACTGGTCACATGTGCGTGAGAATTGTTTCTGTCGAGGCGACAGGTTATAAGTGAATTCTATAACGACAAGTGCATGACGTCGAATCTGATTCTTTTATTGTTGCAACAATCGTTTTTCACAAACATTTACAAATATTGGTTTTCGAATCATCAGCGGTCTAACATATTTGGGAGTTTCGATAAACTATTTACTCAAACAGTTCTATGAGAAATGTTTTGAAAGAGTCTTTCAAGCTCGTTCGTGTTCCACATTCATAGATCATATGAAATGATTCGAAATTTTTGAACTCGTGCACACACAATAAAAATCAAATGGTTAGAAATAGCGTAAAAAACTGAGCAAGAAGTATACATTATTTCGAGAGGGTATGGTCAAGTTCCCAGCAAAATCTTTCGTTCCTTCTATCTCTCTCTGAACGATCTTTTCTCTTATCGTTTTCGTTCTTTCGCGTTCTTCGTTCTGATTTATAAGTATGTGTTCAAATTTGAATACTTGCTTATAAAGCAGAACGAAGAACGCGAAAGAACGTAAACGATAGGAGAAAAGATAGTTCAGGGAGAAATAGAAGAAACGAAAGATTTTGCTGGGAACTTGACCACACCCCTTCGAGATAGTTTATACTTCTTGCTCATTTTTCTACGCTCTTTCTAACCATATGATTTTTATTGTGTGTGCACGAGATCAAAAATTTCGAACCATTTTATGTCTTCTGCAAAGTTTGGAACCTAACGCCGAGTTCTAAATCTGTTTGGTGCAAAATTTTCAACAGAAATAACGTCAAATTTTACTATAAAAGCACGCTCCTCGAGTATCTCTTGGTCAGTGAAGATCAAAAAAGACTTACTTGCCGTCGTCTCCGTGATACTTTCACGAATGCTGCTGATCGAAGACCATTTTGCTGTAATTTATCCACATCAATTTCTGCCGTTTGTTGACTTATGCTTGCTTGTGGTAACTAGTGCGTACATAGATAGACAAAATTAATATTCTTCCGATGGCTAATTTCTTATACGACAGTCTCACTATCCTTCTCGGTTCTATAAAAACTAATGTTTAAAGTAGAGCAGGAGTTTTTTCCTGATCAGTGAGTATTTATTTGCAACGTTTTTTCCTTTGTCTAATAACACACTTCTTTGTGTTACAAAGAACAAAGAACAAAATGTTTGGCTTTCAACTTCTCTACTGCTAACGTCAGTCTTTGCCGGTGATTAAATTAAGAGCGAAAAACAATTCGAGTCTAAACGGGCAGTTTTCAGCAGCCAGAAATGTTGGATTCGGCTCTGAAAAATTCAGGTTAGGGAACAACTACTTCTAATTTACGAGTGTTTTCGACGATTTTCTCTCAATATTCATCGTACGAGCAACTAGCTACACTTGACTTACTTGTTTCGATAATCGAATTACAACAGGCTTGGTGGGTACTATGCGAGACATGTCCTTTAGTTCTGGTTCAATTCCAGTATTGTACTCTGTCACACAACACCGATTCTAATGCGTAAATAAAACGAAGGCAGCCGAAATGCTCGTGCTCG